GGAGTGTACTTTTATGATTTTGTGTGTGGATTAATTACCAGACATGGTTTACTTGGTGGAAGGGAAAAGGAGGGCTAACTGCAGAGGGTACAGTGTCTTTTAGACGCGCAGTGGGAGTGAAAGTGCGTGCGACTATCTGTGTGATGTGCGTGTGTGTGAAATTTTTGTAAAGGTTTATCTGTTATTCAAATATAACCACTCGTTCAAATAACTAGTGTGTGGCCGTGCAATGCACGAAAAAACAATATTATGATTGTATTATAAATTAAATATATAAATAACAGTAATCATGATATATGTATTATTTTTACATTAAATCGGGTTGGACACAGTCCGACCGGATGGACGGAGAACCGATTTATAACCAGTCTAGTTCGTTTGAATAAGATATTTTCTTTTGAATCCGTCAACACCAATCGGTTGGATTTGTAGAATCGACACAATTTTTTAGATAAATTTTATTATATTTAAAATTATTTTAAATAAAATTACATATTTAAATAAAATAGAGATTTATAAATTATTTATCAATTAGTTTAAACATTTGAATTTATAAATTTTTTAAATATCTAAGTAACACATTTTGTTTAAATTTATTACAAAAAATACTATATATATATATGTATACATTAAAATGTTTATAAATTAAAATCTGAACAAACCACAAATGATTTAATAAAATAACTTGATTGTTTCGATGACGATTTAGTTCTGAGAACCTTATATTTAGTGTACATTAATAAATATTATTATAAAACATTTTTTTGTTCACATAAATATTAATAAAATGATATATAAATATCCATAAATCATTAAACATGTTGTCATAAAAGTATTGTTAATACGATTATTTGAAATTTGGACTACATCACATTCACGTAATAAAATATTTTTAATATAAAATTTATATTTAGGTTCAATAATCGATTTGGTGTGATCGATCTGATTCATAACTTAGTCACCTGAGACCAACCAAGTTGTGTCAAGTTTTTTAACTATTTTAAATATCACCTAAAAGTAATTCAATCAACCTGGGCAGTACCCTAATTCCATCACCTGATTGATCCGAAGAAACTTTCTTATTTTCTTTAAATATATTTAATTTTATGAAATAAAAATATTTTATGATTCATATAATAAATGTCCAAATGATAGTATATTAAGATTATAAATTATATATCTTAAGATGAGTTAATTATTTTTACTTTATGCATATTAATAAAAAATAAACATAGTAATTTTCAAAAAATTAAGATTAATTGATTGATTATGCAATTTAAAGAATATTTTTAGCGTTCTATTTTTTTTAAAGGCACAAATATAAAGACCGAGATTCTAAAACTTTTGTTATATTTTGAATTGAGATTTTATAAATATACAGACCGATATTTTAATTTTGTTCGTTGTTTCTAAGAAAAAAATAATAATAAAAACATACACACTTAATAAATTTTAGCTGGATTTTTTAAATAATAAAATGAACTATAGCCCGAATTTAAGGTAGCATTTAATGCTATATGAATTTTAAAGAAAAAATAAGAAAAATAATAAAACTTACTATTTATAGACTGCATTAAATTCTTACCTATTTTTTTGCTACTATTTTTAGTAAATGTTAATTCTTATTATATATATATTGATTCGCTATATACCTCGCTATAGTTAGAGCATCTTCAATGTATTGGGTCCAATTTTGCCTATATGACAAGTAAATAAACTTAAGTTTTAGATGACATGAATAAAACTATGTAAAATTAATAAAATTCACTCTAATGCAAAGAGATTAATCTCTACTTGGGTCTAAAATAGACTTAAAGAGAGACCGTCTCTTTTTCTGGCTGCCACATCGACCCAGTCTACTTTTATTTGCATTGGACAATATATTTTTTTAGACTGGGTCTATTTTTTATGTGGCATGTAATTTTTTGGGAATGAACCCAAAGCATTGGACAATATATTTTTTTAGATTGAGTCTATTTTTTATGTGGCATGTAATTTTTTGGGATTGAACCCAAAACATTGTGGTTGCTCTGCTATATTTTTTTTTTTTCAAACAACGCGACGTAGCTTTATATATTTAGCGTATTTTTCTCTAAGAACTTAAATGAAACGCTGAAATAGCATTTTTTTTACGCTATTTCACACTATTTTGTGCTATATTTCTGTAATGACATTTAAACAATAAAATATTCAAAAAACTTTTATTTTTTAAGGATTAGAGTTATATTTTTAAATGACTAAAAACTAAAAAAATTGATAATGATTTCAAATTAAAAATTTGAAAATGCAAAGTCCTAAGTTGGATAGTGCAATATATATCAGACTTATCAGTCCAGGTCTATTATATAATTATATTTTTTGGTATTTGACATTTGAATTTAAGAATAAAAAGTTCAAATCTAGTGGTTAGAATTAAATTGTAATAAAATTAAAAAAATTAATTACAATATATATGCTGAAAATTAAATTATGACTTATCTTATTATATTTTTGTCGTTTGTTTTTACTTTTTAGTATATTCGCTTCGTTATTTAAATATTTATATTATTTACATTACACACTAGTAATCAACCTGTGCATTTGCACAAAGACGAATACTTTAAAAAGATAAAAATATAAAAACAAAAAAAAACAAAAATAAATCATAATTTAATTCATGAAAAAACAATATGAATTAAGAAAATAATTCTCAAAATTGATTTTGATCAAGTAATTGTTATGAAAGAGCCGTTACAACTATTTTTTTTATGCTAATACACCCGGCCATTTTCATGAGTGGGTGTAACTTAAAATTTGAGTACAATTTTGTAACTCCTTGATTGGTTTATGCTCATAATTTATGACATTCAAGCAAATTATTTTGTAACTTAAAAAATGAAATTGAATGCTGAAAATTTTAAAGGGAGAATAAAATTTGATGCATGGGCACCATAGAATTTCTGCCTCTTTATATATATATATATATATATATATAGATTTGTATGAAATAATTCTTATATGTTATTTTGAGTTCATTCAAATATTATGATAATTTTTAGAACCAACCAACCACTTTTATTATATGTAAGTATATATATAATATTTCTATAAAAATATTTTTTATACTTAAATAATTTACACAACACGCAACGCTATTTACGCCACGCAGTATAAAGACCAAAACACGACGCATTACGCTATACGCGTTTTAAAACACTGAATTGAACTATATGTTAACACAATTTGGTTTAGCTAGTCAAAATTTGAGCTTTATTCCTTCATTTATTTATATTTATAAAATGATATTAGTTGAACATGATAACTTATTATTTATTTTTCTTAGGGAATAAATCATAAAAGTAAACAATAATCTTATTAATTATTTCGTATTTTTTATTTGTAGGGATTCAATTATTAATTTGATACGATTCTATGCATTAATCGTAATCTATCTAAATTTTTAGTTTAGTAATGTTGATTTATATTAATTTTCAAGTTATGTTACTTTTATTAATTTTCATTCTAAATTGAACTTGTAATTGTTGTTATGTACATAAATTGTACAAAGTAGTCTATTGATCGAATGCAATGGACTTTTCAAGTTTGCCTTCATGTAAGTGCTAAAAAACTTACATTGTTAGTAATGTGTCTTACAAGTTAGTTGTGATATTTTATAATGACTATTTTTTTTGTAATAAAAGTGATATAGCCACATAAGGAGGCTCCTTACTCGACCGGTGAGCCATTCGAGCAACTCGCATGTCGACGTGACTACGTCGACATGCTCAAATCGACTTTCCCAAAGTCAATCCTATGGAGAGCAATCAAGAAGAGGCAGGGATCGGTCTAGTCGACTCTTGGAAGTCGACTTTAGCCTATCGACTTTCACTAGTCGATGTCAATGGCAGAAGAACAGCGAAAGCATGACGTCTGAGCATCCAGGTACTCTAAGTCGACTCTCAGAAGACGAACTCACCAAGACGATTTCCACTCAACAGAACGACAAAACATAACCTCCGGGTACCCATATGATCATGAGTCGACCTCCCAGTGCTCGAGGTCGACCTCCTACGCCTCGAGGCCGAGAACGCGGTGACGACCCATCATACTTGTAGCATACTTGAAGTCCTACATACACCTAAGGATAAAAAGGAATCTTGAGATGACTCAGCAGGAAGGGGAGATGAATCGA